ATTATGTATAAATAATTAAAAATCAATTAATTCAGCCTGGCGTCTTAATTTTTTTTGACAACACCTGACGTCTTAATATAGATAGGTATCTTTGACATAACATGCATTATTTAGGTGACTAGGCCATTGGTTCAATCGAAGTCCTCGTTGTTGACATAAGTGTACATATACAAACATAGAGCATTCCAATTTATATCTCTACCAGATCGGACAGAAGGATCTCCTAAGAGTGGCAAATTTGAAAACAATAATGCAACTACTAACCTATTGCTATAATTAGGAATGTATAATAATGTAATATTGTAGACAAAAACTAAGCAGGTTGGCATTCAGAAATTTGCAATTGGAGAGAGTGAGATAGATGAGGTGGGTGGGGTAGGGAAAAATAAAAGGTGGGGTGTGATTAGTGATTTGTAAGAGACAGATAGAGTGAGAAAGAAATAGAGAGGAGAAATGGAGGGAAAGAAATGGAGAGGCAAACTGCAAGTATTCATTGCACCCATTATAGATAGTACGGAGTATATGTTATGATTTGAAGTACGGGTAGTATTTAAATAAGTTAATTAAATATGCAGAGCTGAGCCAAATAGCAAATACATGCACTAGAAGGCATTTTTTGAAAAAGAGTATTCTATAAGACCATTTGTAGTGGTTTGGGATTAGGAGTCAAAAGATTAAAAATGGAGATTTTAGACTCTTATTTGTGTGTAGTGGAGGATTAAAAGGGGGAGTAAAAGTAGAAAGGGGAGTGGAGGAGTGTAAATATAGAGGGAGGGCTTGACAGCCAAAAATAAATAAAAAAGAAAAGAAAAAAGAGGATGGGATGGATTCGTACGCTGCATGCCCGGCCAAACCATGTTTTCGCTGACATCATGGTGACATCATTATAACCCCAAATTGTTTTAAACTCTTGTAACTTTTTTATTTTTTCTCCGAATTTTTCAAAATATATATCAAAATTCATAAAATTTTATGATCTTTCATATGACACCAATATGTAATATATAAAATGAAACAAAAATTCTTAAGTGTTAACTGTTGAAGTTTTCTTCCGTTTACAAAACGATGAAACACAAATTTTTAGTTCATGGAATCTTCACAAATAACTGAATATTTCATAATCGAACTTTACTTGAACTAAGTTCATTTTTGTTAACCGAAAACATAAAAAAAAAATAATGAAATTTATTTATTTTTATATCGAAATGTGTATTTTTTATTTCACAATTATTTAGGGAAAATATTAAACGGAAAACATTACTTATAATAAATTAATTAATGTTTTACTAAATTGATATGTAAAAAAATATGTTGAGTGTATTTTATTGACGGTGCACGGATGCAGGGAAAAACAGTATTGACGGAGTCAAAACACTGTTTTCATATGGACGGAGTCCAAATTTAACAATTTGGACTCCCAACCACTACAAATGGTCTAAGGAGTACTTTATGTAGGCGATTGGTTCAATCTGAGTCTACGGTGATGCACATGAGGACAAAGAAAAGTAAACCAAACGAAGCATATCCTTTTCATTATTATGGGGTCCATTAGGTTGTTGATACATTTACGTCAAGAAGAAGTTAAATGTAGTGAATAAAAAGAACTTATCAACAATTACGTGGTCATAGAGATTTAAAGAAAAACAATACGGAGTACTATTTATTTCATACAAACAACTAAAGCGTATACAAATTAAATAATTGGTTTAAAGTTTACATGGTTTATATCAGATACCATACTGCGTGCAAATGGGTAAATCTATATGGATGACCACATAACTAAAAACTTATACCCCATAATCACTAACGTTCACTAACCGCATCAGATGTTACTTCGGATTTCGCCAATTATATAATGAACATTGTTTTTATGGAAAAAGTTCTCGAAAATATGTTATCCAAATGAATTATTTTTTGTGTATCCTATCTTTCTATTTCAGCTTGTCCATGTGTTTTATATCAATACACATTCAATCAATGTTTTCACTTTATCAACTTATGGTCTTTCTGTTCAATATTCCGATACCTTTTCCGCAATATCAATGGAAGGACCATATATGAGTGAAAACAATAATCATGTGCAAAAAATGATCAAAGTGAAAGACGTGAACCAATTGTGAAATTGATGCGATACTCCTAGAATCAAAACTGGAATTTACTCCAATTTAAACTATAACTATTAACAAATGAGATCTCATATAAATTTATGCAAATTACTATTTAAGACTATATTGACGTGGAATATTTAGATTTCCTAAAACAAGTTTTAAATAAATTCACAATTTAGAAAATACAAATTTTTATTACTTCAAAATTTTATCAAGTCAGATCAATTTAAACTTCATTTGATCAAATTAGACTAGACTATGCTTATATTTTATCAAATGAGACCAATTGAAATTGAAAAAGCTCCCAAAATAGGACTAAAACAGTTTTTTTTTTTGCTCGAAGAATCCTTAATTCATAAAAGTAGCATTCAGCAGGAGGATAAAACTAGAAAAGAACCACAAATAACCATCCGCCCGTGGCCGAGACTGAGAGCTAACCACCACTTGTGCAAAAGCAGTATAACTCGCTAGACCAAATTTGGGCAACATAGAGCTAATGACGGTTACCGCAGCCTCTCCCTCCCCCAAACTTAATGCGAGAGTCTTACAAGGAATAAACGCATAACAGAAAAACAAAACAGAACAATGCAGAGTACTAAATTCGAAACAGAAGAAAATAAAGAAACCAAAACAAGATTTCTTCCCCACAAACTTCCAACACAGTCTTGGCGGGTCTAGGAAGCCAGACCCGCCTCCCCTCCGTTTTTTGACCCCTCCATGCCCATGTCTTCATCAACGACGCCTTGTCCAGCCTGAGCTTCCCAGGTCCTCCTGCGCTTGAGCTCCCCAGGCATCTCCTCCTCGTTGGTGCTCTCAAATAGTACCAGTTTGATGCCCTTGGACTCAGCCGAATACTCTCCTCCAGAAGCAGGTTTCCATTGACTGCCATACCCTTCAGAGCTTGAAGCTCCCGCAGAAGTCCATTTGTATGCTCCTGTAGGGCTGGTCTTCACTCTTCCTCCCGCTCTAAGTTCCACTCCAAATGTTTTTTCAGCAACAAAACCCTCTTCATACTTCAACGGGCAGAATTTATCAGAATGACCAATAATGCCACAAATGAAACAGAAACTGGGCAACTTCTCATATTTAAAGTCCACCCAATGCTTAATACCATCCTGTGTCAGATTAGTGCCTTTTTTCAAAGGCTGGCGAACATCCATAGACACCCTAATACGCATATAGGAAGTCTGCCTACCATCAAATTGGCTCATCTCAAATTTAATGAAAGAGCCCAGAAAATTACCAATTCTTCTAGCAGATCGCAAATTCCTATACTTTATAGGAGCATTGTGAACCTGTACCCAAAAGCTAGCCTCATACAGATTCATTGATTCAGGTATATCATCAGGCTGAACAGCTTTTAGTAATATCAAATCGCGCTCAAATAGCCAAGGACCATCCTCAATAACACGATTCATATCCAAACAGTGATTAAAAATTAACAGATACCTTTTGTCGCCAATTTTCTTGATAGTCATACCTTTAACAGGTTTCCAAACCGCTATCATCATCTCCTGAAACCCTGCCAGTTTAATTTTCCGATCCGAAATCACCACTGCTACCGCCGGAAAACCAGTCGGCCCTGCATCCTCCTCGACGTCCTCCGCTGCATCTTCATCAAAATTCAACTCGTTTTGTTGCTCATTCATCGAAAGTTTCTCGTATGAAGCCACAAAATCTTCCATTCGTATACCTCCGTTCGTCCAGCAAAACCACGACACCGCTCGCCGCCTCCACTCGCTCGCGATCCTCGGCCAATCGCCGAGATCGGACGCACCGAACCCTAGCGGCGTAGGAACGCCCTAGACAAGTCGAAGATTTGGAGAGGATAACTCTCGCTCCACTAAAACAGTTTGAAAATTACAAAATACGACTTTCATGTTTTTTTATTCCCAAAATAGGAGTAATTACTGTCAAGTTTGGAAAATACTGTCATGTTTGAAGTATGGTACTGCCAAAACATGGCAGTAATTAGTAGGGGTGGGAAAAACCGAACCGAAACCCGGAAACCGATCCTGGATTGACTCGAATTATGATCCCGGTCCGGGTTTTTTCTTTCTAACCGGCCCGAATTAAATAAAACCCGAACCGAACCCGAAATTCCGGGCTCATTAACCGGCCTTAAAATCTATAACCCGGCCCGGACCGATAAAAACCCGAAACAATTAGCTTTAATATAAAATTAATATAATATATGAATATAAATTTATAAATATTTCCTAATATATGATTATGATCACGTTGGATAAAAAAATGATTTATTAACTTTTAGTGACTACAAATGTGTTCAATTTTTTTAGCTTAATGACTGAAAATATATGTATAGCAACTCTAGTCACATTTTTATCTATAAATTTTATTTCATAATATTTTTAAGAAGAAACTATATTATTTATTTATATGCATCTTAAATAAAATATTAAGATAATTATCCTCTTTGGATTTTAATTGTTGGTGATTTTGGAGATTATTATTTCTGTTATTATTTGTGATTTGTATTTTTGATTAATTTTATTTGCAAATAGGTGTTAAAATATAAAACAACAATGAGATATTTGATGTTCAGGCTTTAACCGACCCAACTCGAACCCGGACCGAACCCGGGCTACCAAAAACCCGACTCGGACCGAACATAATGGGCTTTGTTCCGGTCTTTAATTTTCATAACTCGAGACCTTACGGGTAATTTCCGGGTTTAGCAAAAACCCGACCCAGACCGGACCGATCCCACCCCTAGTAATTAGTCCTATTTTTGGAATAAAAACATGACAGTCATATTTTGAAATTTTCAAACCTTTTTACTCTTATTTGGGACGATATTCTCATTGAAATTAGATTATACAAGTGAGTATATCATAAAATCAGATCAAATTCAAACAAAACAAATAAGACCAAAGCATAAGGCCAAATTAAAGCTCTCGAGAATGAGGTTATTCGGATTCCATTGCAAATGGCAATGTGGGGGGGAGTTATGAATCAAGCACTACATATACCGAACCCCACTAGCCTTATAAGTATGATGACTACTTCTATGGAGTATATATTATTCTTTAATGCAATCAGTACTCCAGCTGTTCTGATGTTGTTTCCCCCCACTATTCACAATAATGGAGATTTATGTATGCATTACCATTTTATGTAATTGTGTTATACTGATCGGAGTATATAATTACTCGCAGTGACAATAGGGGCAGAGGCAAGGCGATGAAGGGGACGATGATGAACAACACTTTGAGCAATAGTCAATTCTCATTCCTCGCCATTCTCAAGTTTGCAGTTTGTATTATGCTATTCGGACTTGCCTGCCGTTTGTTTCTCTCCAGTGATCAGTTTCTGCAATTATCCCCATTCCTGGTCGCCACTGACCAGAAGACATCGCCGCCGTCCGTTTCAAATCAGCTCCGGGCGAATCTCGAGCACAGGAGTTCTAGAACTGGTTAGCGAACTAAATTCCATAAACCTTGCAAGTTTTTTCGGCCATGCATGAATCGCTGTGTGCTAAATACTGCATATCGATCCATGATCCATCTATTTTGCTATCAATTTCTCCTTTTTGATGCAAATCAATTTGCTCTTAAGCCTTAAGAGCGGTAAATATTATGAATATATTAAGTATTAATAAAATCATGTGTTAATTGTCCAAAATCGGACGTTTATTGGTTTATCCATATTTTGTCTCCCCTGTAGAATTGATTCGACTCATTTATCTACTTTGTATTGTCCGGTTTTGCCTAACGAATGTGTAAATGGACTCAAGATGGATGATGCTGAAATGCTGAATCACTGAATGAAATGATCTTTATTTGCAGTGAAGTGTGATTTGTTTAGGGGAGATTGGATTGCAGATGCTAAGGGTCCATTTTATACTGACCAGACTTGCTCTTCAATACAAACCCACCAGAACTGTATGAAGAATGGCCGGCCTGATATGGATTATATACACTGGAGGTGGAGACCCAGAGACTGTGAACTCCCCAGGTTTGATCCCGGGAAGTTCCTCAATCTCACGAGGAATAGATCAATGGCTTTTATTGGTGATTCAATTATGCGGAACCATGTTCAGTCTCTGCTTTGCATTCTCTCGCAGGTTAGACTTTCCTAACACCTGTATCTGTTTGGTGTTTTGTATGAATGATTCGTTGCTTCTCTTCTGGTGATATCTCATCTTCTTTACAGCTATTTTAAGCATAATTAATTAATGTTGGGAAAGTAAAAAAAACAAGTTGTGTGTTGCTGGCTAAAGTTGGCAGGATTAGAATAATTTGTCCGCTGAGTGGTCCCTTGTCTTTAAGATTTGGGGATTTTTTCGTCATTAAGAGGTATTAGGGACTTTTCAAAAAAAAAAAGGATGACATCCCATCCCTGAGGGCCCCCCAACACCGACCGGACGGCACGATGGGAGGATGTAAATTGGACTATAATCACAATCTGACAGATAGAGAGTGGGGCTCTGTCCCCGGTACTTGCAGAGGCCCTATGCATTTTTCAACATAGTAACCCCTCATCGCAGTTGCCGGGATTCGAACCCGAGACCTAACCCTTGTGGCACTCCCTTGCTACCAGTTGAGCTACGCCCACCGGTTATTAGGGACTTTTCATTTTAGACAGATAGGTTCCACTTACCATTTACAGAAATAAGAACCAATAAGAGTATAAGAGCATCACCAATCACTATAAAATGAGGGTCTAAAAATACTGCACGGATAACTCAATTGTTCAAGTCACGAAAAAGTTGGTAAGATTGTCTAAGGATTGAAACACACAAATACACAATAGCCGTATAGAGGTTACAACTTTTGTATGTTGGATGGGATCTTTGATGTACACGGGTACAAAGTCTATCACCATTAGATTGGCTGAGTCACCGTGATTTACAATCTCACATATCCTTTGTCGAGTCGGTGCATGAGAAGCCTTAGAGATTGAGGATTCAACATTCTAGAAGAGTGATCGTCTAAAAATATATTTTCTGACATGTTTTTTTGGTGTACCTATTCTAATGATACATGAAATTTATACACATTTGGCTCACATTTGTACGTAAGTGTATTTGCATACATACACTACGCACGACTAGTTGCTTGTGAACACACGTGACTCATGCAACAATTATTTTGTATACACAAACAATTATACGTACTATATAAATATGTGTCAAATGTATGCAATTTTTGTGCACACGAATTTGTTTGATAGAAATCACTCCGTACTTCTTAGGACTTAGGGGTGTGAAAGGACACTCAAATAAGGACTAATGTATACGGAGTATTATGTAGTACGTACTTCGTACTCAATAAGCGGTAATTCTCAAATACGGAGCATTTCTTGCAGGAGGAAAAAGTTGACGAGGTATACCACGATGAGCAATACAAAAGTAGAAGATGGTATTTCCCCGCAAACAACTTCACCGTTTCAGTGGTTTGGTCTCCTTACCTTACAAAAGCCGTCATATTTGAAGACAACGACGGCCTTTCGACAGATATAGTCCGTCTCCACCTCGACAAACCCGATGACATATGGACAGATCAATTCAAGAGTTTCGATTACGTTATTCTTGCCGGCGGGAAATGGTTTCTCAAACCGGCAATTTACTACGAGAAAGATGAGATTGTGGGCTGCCATAGCTGTAATGAGAGGAACATTACAGAGTTACTGTTTGATTATGTGTACCGCAAAGCATTGAATTCAACCCTAGAATACATTTTGAGGTCAAAGCATGAAAAGGTCAATGTGTTGTTCAGAACCACAACACCGGATCACTTCGAGAATGGGGAGTGGAACACTGGCGGTTATTGCAACAGGACATTGCCGTTTAAGGAAGGCGAGGCTGAGATGAATGGCATGGATGAGCTAATGCACCAAATAGAAGTGAAAGAATTTGAGAGAGCATTGACCATATTAGGATCCAATGAGAAGGGGTTAACTTTGAAACTTTTCGACACCACTTATCTTTCATTGTTGAGACCGGACGGGCACCCGGGAATCTACAGGCATATGCAGCCTTCTTTAGCGGTTCAGAATGATTGTCTGCATTGGTGCTTGCCCGGGCCTATTGATTCTTGGAATGATTTGATGATGGAAATGATTTTTCCATTCTTAGGAAGATAGAGATTTTATACTCTATCCCATCTGCTATTTTAAGGGCTCTACTGTGGCCATGTGCATATTAGTAGCATCTGTAATGTGCACATTTGTACACGCGTGACACGATCGAGATTTACATACAAGAATCGATCAATACAGTTTCTTTCTTTCACCGTCTTCGAGCCATCAATTACAAATTACCAAAAGTACATGAGGCTGCGGAAAGGATGATCAGTTAAGTACACTTGGTGGTGACAAGATGCCTTTTTTCCCATTGGTTCAATTGAGATGGCTTTGCAGCACATTTATATGCATTATTACACTGCAGAGCAGAGGTAAAGAAACGAGCAAAGAAAGCTGTGGATGGTTCTTATTAGTAAGCATGTCCTCCTGTCTGAATAAATCATAAAAAACTTATTCCCTTGGTTCTTATACAGCTAACTAACAATAAACTTAACACTATTTTGAAATTAAACTACTTTATTATACACAGTTATACATTTAATATCTTAAATTCTTCGTTGTATTCTATGCTTCGTATATACTCTGTTTATACAAAGTATACTAATCCATTCCACAGCAATTTTGGAGCTTATTAAATTATTTTTCTTTATTAATTATCAGCTCTATATAGGGAGTTGGTCCTCACTTTGGTTGCTCCATTTTTCCTGCTTAGTAATAATGATTGATTACAAAAGGTAATCCGTTAAGCTTTGTATGGAATTGGTATCTTTAAAAAACATGTATGCATTTGATAGCTTTGTGTAGTTGATTCAGAATTGGTCGTTGAAGTATAATTGGTTGTGATTTTATAATAAGATTTAAATTTTATTTTAAAAAGTCAACTCTAGGAACATGAAAGCTTTATATGTAAGTGATACGGAGTATTTTTAAACTTGTTTAATTGATGATACTTTTGGCCTGGATATTACTAAAAAAGACAGAAGACAAAAAAGTGACATGTTTCTAAAAATTCCAAAAATGTGACCAAGATCACATTTAAACTCTGCAGTGCAAAGTAACTCCGGTCACAGTGACTTCTCCGACCATAGTGACTCCGGTCACAGGGACTCCACCACAGTGATCGCAGACTACCGGCCAAAGTGATTGTCGCCGCACCCCGTTCAATGACTACCGCCACTCCACTGGCCAGTCACCACTGCCGCCATTGTCCAATCACTGTCCTCCCTCGGTCAGTGACTGTTGCTGCCACCGTCCAGCCACTGCCATCCGCCGGTCAGTGACGGCCGCCGCCACCTTCCAGTCACTGTCGTCCCTCGGCCAGTGGCTGCCGCTGTCCGCCCCTGCTATTAAACTGCCCAACACCACTGTCACCGCCACTGCTCACCCCACCCCAACCTGCCCAACCCTCTTCCCAACTATCCCCAGCCCCCTGCGCCGCCGACCCCAACCGGGCCATCACCCAACGCCGGCCCACTACCCTGCTCCCCTGCCACGCCCCTATCCTCCCCCAGTCCACTCCGACCAATTAACACCACCATGGACTCCGACATGATCTGTCCCCTCCACTAGCCCTGCCCCAACCCAGGCCCCAACACCCTTCCCAGCCCCGCCCATCAATGACGCACCCTAGCCCCACCCAACAACGTCGCAACACAGCCCCTTAAGCCACGCCCTACCGTCAAGCCTCGCCCCAGCCACGAACTCAGATCTGAAAATAAGAAGGAAAATCCCCAAATTTGATCTGGAATCGCGTTGATTTGCAGTCAAGAAGGACGGCGAGGCTCAGGTCTGGCGGAGAGAAGGTGCCATGGTCGTACGAAGAGAAGAGGCGCCTCGACCTTGTGCACAAATGAAGGAAGACCACGCCATGGCCGGTGGTTTATGCCTTTATGGCTGCAGAGAGAAGTCTCATGGTTGTGCTGTGTGTAGGGAGGTGCGTCTGTGCGGAGAGATGCGTGAGGAGAGAAGTCTGAGTCACATTTTTGGAAAAAGAAAAAAGGGTTACATTTCTAGAATTTGAAAAGTCAAATATCATAAACGGGCCATTATTTCAATAGGGAGGGCTTTTAAATTTGTAACAATTTAAACTAAGTACTTTTAGCTTTTTACTTCCGAGCATAATTGGTTCTGTTATTACAATAAGACTCGAGTTTTATTTTGATGTAAACTTTATCGTAGGGATGGGATGAACAAAAAAAACGAAACCGACCGACAAATTGATCTAAACCGGATCAAATGAAACTGAAACGGAGAGACCAACTAATGAACTAAAACTGACTAATCCAATGGCGGTTCGGCTTGTGAATTATATATTTAGGTTAAAAAGTCAGTCGAACCAAAACCGATCGACAAAAACTACCAAAATGCATTAAAACTGACCGAAACCTATACAAATAGATCGAAACCGGCTCAAGTTGCGTGGTATGATTCTTAGTTTCACCTTTTCTAAAAATCGATTAAATCGAAATGATGAACACCCCTGTTTGATTGAAGATGATATAGGGAGTAGGGAGTATTTGCAATAACTTAAAAAAAAAGTTTTTAAGCTTCTTTTAAGCGTGTTTTCAAAACAATGAAGAACTATACATTTCCTTCATAAGATTTTCATGTTTCAGAGGAGTAAAAATGTACTAGACAAAATAATTTTAAATCAAATTCTAGGTCTACTTATAATTACCCAAAATTTTCCTCGATAGATTAAATCCTAGCTTTTGCGCCATTTCCGACTACTTCTAAGGTAAGTGCCCTTGGGATACATACCGCCCGGTTCTAACACTCATGTTTCTTATTTCAGGTCCTCCCCCAACCGAAGAACAAATGAATAACGAGAAAATGTTGAGGAACAGGAAGGCCAAGGCAAAACATGCGGCGTTAGAGAAAGCCAAGTCCGCCCAAGCTTCCGAGGCCAATTCCTCGGCCTCCTAGGCCAACAAACGCACGGAGGAGGCTGAGCAGCAGCTCATCATGGTCGTGACAGCCCAAGGCTGTGAGGCCCTCATTGCTGATTTCGGCTCTACTCAAGATGTAGTGCCTTTGAACGTTGCCCTTCCCTCTGGCGAGGAAAAGGCTAAGAAGAAGAAACCGAAGAGGCCACGTCCTGATTCTTCTGGTCCTGCAGCCGAGGGCGTCGCGCTAATTTCTCTTGACCGTCTGGCCGTTGAGATGTGGAGGAGATTGCCCTTCAATCTGGGGTGCAATTACCACCCTGGTCCTCCTTTGAGGCCGTCAGCGCTGCCTTGACGGCTAACATCCAGGTTTCGTTTTGCCGTTGTTCTTTTGGTTCATGCTAATTCTTGTTGGACGTGCGTGCCCTTACGGGTTTATTTGTTTTGCAGGCTGTGCTGAGCCAGTTGCAAGCTGAGGCTCCCAGGGAGCTTGATGCCCTGCAGGCCAAAAGGCTAACGCTGCCCTGAAGGAGGCACAAGAGGCAGCTCGTCAGAGAGAAGAGCTTACCGCCAAGAAGACAGAGGAGCTTCAAACCGCTCTGGATACGGCTCTTGCAAAGTTGGCCTTGTCGAGAGTCACAGTTTTTCTCTTGTCCCCATTCCTCTTTCAGTTCTCGAGGACGACACTGCTGCCGGTACCGTCCCTTCCGCGCAAGTAAGTACCCCAGCCCCTTGTGGCGGCTCGATACCTCTAGGTACGAGAAGACCGCGAACTTCATTATCTCTGCTCAGCGCTACTGCCGGGGGCGGTTGGAGATGTTTTTGATGAGGAGCTGCGGGCTCAGAAGGACCACTTGGGTCATGGGGCGCGGGTCCTGGAGCGGACTCCGCTCGGCGAGCAGTTCTTGCTTGATGTGGCCGATGACGGATTCGCCACGGGCTACAACCTTGGGGTGAAGGCCACGCTGCCGGGCTTCGCCAAGCTCCACGGTCCAGACTTCAAGTTGGTGGACCATACCGATGATGAAGATCTCAAGGCGGCCGTTGGGAAGTTGGAGCGGGATCAGAGGCGCGCTGAGGCCGAGGAGAGAGGTGAGAAAGTTGGAGCGGGATCCGAATATAAAAGAGCGGCTTTTATATTAATATCGAGAAATCATACAAGACAACTTCCACACAGTTATGTCAGAGTTGTTCGTAAGCCCTGAGAATATACATAGAATCCGTCATCTCAATCAAAGCAACCTGATTCACAAGACACAAAGTGGACAAATTTAAGCCTAAAACCATCGTAATTGAAACATTGTCTATTAAAAGTACTCCAGAAATCCAACATCCAAACCAAACCTACTCAAAGTAAAATATAAATAAGTATTACTAAAGAAAAAATAAAATTGAAATAAATTCTTTCCAAAAAAAACCTGTGTTGTAAGAACCGACCCGGACCGGCCGCTACGGACCGGAACCCGTAAGTGGGATTCGAACTCGCGCCTACCACTACCATTCCAAGCTACTGCCTAACGTGTTACACCAGCTAGTTGGTGAAAGCCGTTGCTTTAGTGTTCTTATACTGTGTTAACGTGAAATGTTTTTAGTAACTCTTAATTTAATTAGTTAATTACATAATTAATCTATAATAATAATAATAATAATAATTACATATCAATGTTATATTATTATACTTCCCAATCACGTAGGTAGTATATGATCTTCCAATTATTATTTTGTACTCCTAATTGGTATTATGTTCATTTTTATTATCTATCTAAATCCAAATGCATTTTAAATTTTGTTAGTCAATATAGTTTAATACAATTTTTTTGCCATTGCTTATATTGTATTATCATTATTAAAGTTTGAAGGAATATAATTTTTATATTTATGAATTTAAATCTTTTATATAACTAATTACACACACACACACATATATATATATTATATATATGTATTGGTGTTGACTGGGTTTACCGGTCATTGACCGGGCTGACCCGCCGGGTCCAGGTTGACCCGTGACCCAGTCATTTGTCCGGGTCACTTCTCGGTCCGATTTTTACAACATAGAAAAAACTCTTCATGACACATAGGTGGTTCTGAAGGAGAACAAGATCTACCATTATATGCGCATCCCAAAAGAATGTGCCGGAAACACCTCACTAGATGAAACTCTTTGGGACACCAAAACCACTCTCCACACCGAGGATAAAAAAAACCAAAAAAAGAACATTTCAGTTGAGTCATACATCTACGAAGAATCTTCACTACCTAAGACAAATCATGGAATCTACTCATTTTGAGTTGTCTATGACAGACAAAATTTCTGTGAAGAACAGACGTGTACACATTTGGTGTACACATTTTGTGTACACATTTGGTGTATCCTTAGCAAAACTTTTTTACTTTTATATACTTCATAGACATATTCATACAAATATTAAAAATGTTTTTAGTGTTACAATTACACATTCTATAATGCATACACCAATCTTCCATTATACAATCAGTTGAAGCCATCGTTATTTTTTTGACCGAATAATTAAAATGAATGGATACTCAATGGATGACGAGTTGCCGACGACCTTGGTTAGTCAGCAATTATCTCGATTTACGAAAATGGCACAACAAAGATACAACGTGCTTTTGCAATACGGACGTAAGCTACAATGACACGCTCACGTGGGGTGTTGTTAGCTTGGTATGGCTTCTATCGCGAACGCAAATGGACAGTCAAAAGTTTGGTCAACCTTCGATTTCTTTCACATCAATTTGAAAAAGGAAAAACACTCATGTCTTCAAGTTTCAATTTTTCCATATTGTATCATTACGTGACTATTGTTTTATACTCCTTCCATAACATATATATATATGTTCCCATTTGAAAAGTAGATAGATTAAGAATAGTGAAAGAAGATATAAATTATTGAGGGTATGATGGGAAGATAGTGAAATAATGTGATTGGAATGAAAGATAAATCCAAAAAAAGTAGATGTAATAATGTATTATTTTTAAAATTATTGAAGGTATGATGAGAAAATTTAGAAATGAGAAGATATGAATGTTACATCCAAAAAAGGAAAGTGGAAAGATATGAATGTTACGGAGAGAATACTTTTATCTCTTCTTTAGCTAGTGACAAAATTGATCCTTATTATGGAGTAGTATATACTAGTATTTAGCTTTTTCCATAACTAGAATTACTTAAATTGGATTCATATAAGTGACCAGTGGGAACAGTCGCTCTCATATTTTTTTTTTCTATTGGGTATAATTACTCCAAAAATTTAATATATAGAAATTAATACGATCGTATGTATCTTTTACATTATCGGTTCCCTTCTAATGGAAACTGCTGCGTCTCTCGGTGTAAAAGAGTGTACAATGACTACAATACAGTTGACTGTAAAACTTGCCTCTTTTGTACGGAGTGACATTGTTTTTAGATGAAACACCTAATACTCAGAATAATGGAAAACCCATGTGGATTGAATCAGAGGTAGTTGGATCTCCATATCATCCACAATTATTTTAGTGATAAAGATCCTCCGTCGGCCTTCAATACTATAAAACACTTCACTTTATACCCTTCATATGGTTACATTTTGAACCCGTTTGGTAATACTAACATTGACTTATTTGCCGAAATTTATGAATTTCTGGGTGAAGTGGCTGTATTTTGCTGATTATGCTGATTTATGAAAAAATTATATTTAAAATATTTGTTATTAATAAAAAATAAAAAATATTATATGAAAAAATAGATAAAATGATCCTCTATAGTAACTTCAGCCAAAGCAGCCAGAAAAGTAACTTCAACCTTACTTTTTTCTGCTTATTAAATAATTCAGTGCCCGAAATCAAAAGTTATGTGTTTGGTGAAAAACTGGCTGATAAACCTGATAAGTCGAAAAAAGGGGTCACCAAACGGGCTCTTATAGTACTACCTCCGTTCTTTAGTAAGTGCAGCATGTTGAATTTTACACTATTCACATGTTGTACTTTGACTACGTTTAATTAAATAATGTATTAATATATTTTCTCGAAAAAAATATTGTTAAATTTGTCTCATTTTAAATTTTCAAAATCTATTTTTTTAATTTTTTTACTAATAAAGAATTATACGGAGTATATATTAATGGTCAAAGTTGTGTCTCGACAAGTGTGAAATGTTGACTGTTGCACTTATTAAACAAATAATATACTACGTACATTGTAGGGCTAGATGGATAATATTTTTATATTTCCTAATATGTATAATCTATTAGATGCATATATAAGGATTTATAAATACATATCTAGCTAGATACATTTACATACGTGAAGTGTAAATCGTGATTGATATCGACGATAGTGACATACGTCCATATATACTATCTTAAGGAAATTAATATAGCATACAAGAACTTTGAACAAATGAGGAAATTAATTCTTAATGTAAGAAATATATACGAACCTCGTGCATAATGTTTTTACTTGGACTGTAATTTACTACTCTGGTCTGGTCTGGTCTAGTAATGTCTGGTCTCTTTGTATTTTTATAACTATTCAAGTCTGGTCTGGTGTAGTCTGAACTGGTATAGTCTGGTCTGGTCTGGAACGAATTACAGTCCAAGTAAAAACATCCTTAGAACAATAACAAATCTAAGCCTAGTCCAATGGAATAATGTTTGAAGTAATGACTAATTTTTTACAAACATTGCAAAGTATGATGGAAAAATGCAGTGTAATAATATAAATTTGTATACCAACTATATATTTATATGATATAGTTTTTTTAATTGTTGCACACAGTAATAATTCTCAGTTAGTATTTATATCAAAGTGTAGTTCTTGCAAAATCATGATGTTAGGGATATTGGGTCCAGGCCCAATATACCCAATCCATGATGAGAGAGGGCCCAAAGGAAGCATTCGGCCCAAAGCGATACAAGACACCCCGGTCGAGACTCCCGGACAGCATTCGGTACATCTCTCTCAGTGATGCACTGTCATCCAAGTAAGAGGCTCACTCCGAGCAACATTCGGCACATCTCACCTACTTGAGAGGAATCCACGAAAGCGCTACCATCCGAGTAAGAGCTGCGCCCCGCACAAGGTACCTGACCGGCGTTCGGGACATCCCATCCACCTGGGACAACCCATTGAGTACTTCCACCAGCGGGGAATTCCGCACGCCGAACGGGGTACGCGAACGCAATATCAACAAGTGGCATCAGCATTTAATGCTAGGGTATGGCGGGGAACAAGTGGGAACATGACGGCAAAGGCAACAGCCAACTGGCATTGGCCACATGTCCTTCTCACCTACTCCCCCTTACTATAAACAACAGCATTTAATACATTGGAAAGGGTTAGCATTTGTATTTTCAGAGCTTAGAGATAGATTTATTACCCCAGTGCTTGTATTAATTCACTACTCCGATAGGCTGCTCGGGTAGTTCTTGTACTCAAATTCAACTTTAGGTTTCATTAGAGCTTCTCCATTGTTACATAAAAAAAAAATTAATAATGTTACTTAGCTTATATTTTGTGATTTGTGAAATATTAGCATTCTATTATATTTAAATATATAAGGGCTCTTTGAATACAATAAACAAGTGAACTAAAGTACCAAAAAAGTAATTAAAAAAGTATAAAACAAAAAGACCTAAACAAAGAAGCAAATTATGGTTTATGTAAAAGAGAGGTAAGAATTCTGTTTAATTATAAAAATCGGTGTATCTTTATTCATATTTTAGAAATTTCACAAGAAAATATTGAAGGAAGATAATAAGACTTACAATATGACAACAAAATCTCTTTGACTGATTTTAGAATTTTTTTAGAGTATATTTCAATATATAGTACGTGCATTATATCATACTTTAGTTTCTTTTTATATATCATCAAATCCAACTAATATATTAAATCAAAATAACGTTCGTCACATGACTGATAATACAATCAAAGAAAAAGAAATAAACAAAACGATAAAAAGCCTTATGTCTGTCGTCCGCCCTCGAACCAGACTTAGAATATACCACCACTGTAGAAACAATAATATTCGATGATCCTGTAATGGACTTAACTGAGCCAATGACTAGCAAATCAGACTTCTCATCACCTAATTTAAAATCTAGAATATCTCTACTAGAAAATAAGAACACGTCCAAAACAATATGAAATTCGAAAGAAAAACACAAACAGAATAAAACGGAATTAAAACAGAGTTCACTCATCTTCTTCCAAACTCTAACCTTGCTTGCACTCCATGGCAACTACTCGGGGGGGGGGGGGGGGGGGGGGGACGCGCCCGCTGCTCATCCGCCTCAATATAGCAAATCAGACTTCTCATCACCTAATTTAAAATCTAGAATCTCTCTACTAGGAATTAAGAACACGTCCAAAACAATATGGAATTCGAAAGAAAAACACAAACAGAATAAAACAGAATTAAAACAGAGTTCATCCATCTTCTTCCAAACTCTAACCTTGCTTGCACTCCATGGCAACGACTCAGGAGGGAGACGCGCCCGCCGCTCATCCGCCTCAATAGTCATGCTTTTGTATTGAATGACGATATCCTCTTTTGACATCCCTTGCTACTGAATAAAACCATACTCCGGCTTGAAATCATACTTAAGCAAGTTGCAATTTCAGTTTCTTCAACAACCATGATAGAACTGCAAACGAGCTCGAAACACTGCTGCTTCCAAGCCGGGAAAAACAGAAAGAAACGAACACCGGCGCCGTGATCAAATTGATCACCGCCGGACAATACAAGCTAGGCGTTGCCTTGCGTCAACCCTAGAGAGAGCAAAGAAAACGTCCGAAGTCGGCTGGAAAAGAAACGTCCGAAGGCAGCAACCCTAGAGAGAAGTTGCGAAATGGCCAGACTCACCACCCAAAACTAAATAGTAGTATAAAGAAATGTTTGAGTTAGTTGGTATTGCGGTAAGTAGGGTCTCAAATAAGGAAAATGTTATTTGTATAGTATACACCATTTTACATGTTGGCTGAATTGCTTGCACATATATTATTTCTTTGCTTTTTGGGAAGAGAATAGTTTTCTGCAACAATTTTTTTTTTCCATACTACAAAAATGATATCATCATTTCTTTCACAAAATGAATTAAAACTTTATCCACAGATAATTCACACTTATAAAATGACGTAAACATAAAACGTGTACAGGCAACTAGAATGAAGTACGTGAAACAAGAACGTCACTATTGGCGTACTCCGTATATGTTGTTTCTATATATACACAAGACTACAAGTTGTGTTTCCTCCATTATATTGGCTTTCACACCGACTTATATTTTCCATTTATGCAATACCTCAACCAACAAAAATGGCGGACACCCAATCCAGAGCACCCCATGTCCTCGTCGTACCCACCCCCGGAATCGGACATCTCACGCCGCTCGTGGAGTTCGCCAAGCGCCTCTCTCTCCAGCACAACTTCTCCGTCACTTTCATCCTCCCCACCGACGGCCCCATTTCCGCCGCCCACAAGTCAATCCTCGAAAACCTCCCCGCCGGGATTTCGTACACGCTTCTTCCGCCGGTCAACTTCGACGACTTGCCGGAGGACGTGAAGATCGAGACTCGGATTTCCCTCCAGATCACCCGCTCCCTCCCGGCCCTCCGCGACGCGTTCCGGTCAATCTTCGCGACTGCGAAACCCGTCGCTCTCGTCGTCGATCTATTCGGGACGGATTGTTTTCAGGTCGCCGTCGAATTTGGCGTTTCGCCGTATATTTTTTTCCCGTCGACGGCGGTGTGCTTGTCCTTCTTCCTTAACTTGCCGGAGATTGACGGGAAGGTGTCCTGTGAGTATAGAGAAATGTCTGAGCCGGTCCAGCTCCCGGGATGTATCCCGGTCCGCGGCGAGGATCTGTTGGACCCGGTCCAGGACCGGAAGGACGAGGCTTACAGATGGGTCCTTCACCACACGAAGCAGTACAGAATGGCGGAGGGTATTCTCGTCAATTCGTTCGAGGATTTGGAGCCCGGCGCGCTGAAAGCCTTACAGGAACCTGAACCGGGGAAGCCGCCGGTCTACCCGGTCGGACCGTTGACAAAACTCGGGCAGCCCAAAGGGACGACGAACCGGTGCCCGGTCCTGGAGTGGCTGGACCACCAACCACGTGATTCAGTTATTTACGTGTCTTTCGGCAGCGGCGGGACCCACACACAGAAACAACTGGACGAAATCGCCTGGGGATTGGAGACGAGCGGGCAGCGGTTTGTTTGGGTAGTCAAGTGCCCAAACGACGTCATTTCGAACGCCGCGTATTTCAACGTTCAAAGCTCGGCGAGCCCCGTTGACTTTCTGCCGGAAGGTTTTACCGAGCGTACGAAGGAGACTGGATTGGTTGTCCCGGACTGGGCCCCGCAGTCCCAAATACTGAGCCACGAGGCCGTAGGAGGGTTCCTGACCCATTGCGGGTGGAACTCGATCCTCGAAAGTCTGGTTCATGGGGTCCCTTTCGTCGCGTGGCCGATGTATGCCGAGCAGAAAATGAACGCGGCCATGTTGACCGAGGGTCTTCGGATAGCGTTGAGACCGAACCGGGGCGAAGACGGGCTGGTCGGGAGAGCGGAAATCGCTAAAGCTGTAAAAGCATTGATCGGAGGGGAAGAAGGGGAAGAAGTTCGTCGGAGGATGAGCGAGCTGAAAGAAGCTGCCCGCCGCGTGCTCAGCCCGGAGGGGTCTTCCACAAAGGCTCTGGCTCGTTTCGCCGCCAAACTCAAAGAGAAATCCAGTTAATCAGCCACGGTCATGTTTGTTGTTTTGATGGTCTGATTTTTTCTTGTGAATTATTACACGTATGTTTGATTGATGCCGGATCATTTGATCTAGAGCAGAATAGGCTCCCACATTTTCTTTATGCTTCCTTTTTTGACCTGTAACAAAATAATCTTCAATATCGTGGAAGACTTTTTAATCGTGATGTCCTTTTTAATCTGTTTGTAACAAAATAAAGTTTTCAAAGATTTTGTGATTTAAATTATTTCTTTCCATTCAACAGACTCTCAATTGCTCAGTTTCTTTTTTCTTAAAAAACAATAGAGCCGGAGGACGATGTAGTTCAATTGATGGATAGAGTGTAATTGGGTGATTGGGTGTTACAAAGAGTAAGTTTTGAGTTCGAATTAGTCGATGATGGAACACAATATATATATCAATCATTATATCAAAAATGCCCGAAGCAAAATATATATGTAGACTAGATTAGAGCATCACTCGTTATCTGTAAATTTATAATAAAAATTTAATTTACACCATCTCAATTAGTTGTGCACAGCTAGTCATGGACTCCGGCCGGGCTGGTTCCGGGTCAGGCCCGGCCGGGCTTTTTTTTAAAGGAAGAATCGGAACCAGCCCGGGTAGGCACCTGTTCCGGACCGGGCCGGTTCATGTTATTTTTTTTAAAATTTCTTTTGCTTTTCTAATTAACTCCCGACCCCCCCATTCACCCCCACCCCCCAAACCCCCAAAAACACCCCGACCAATCCGGGAGAAACCAAAAAAGTTGAGAAAAAAAAATAGACCTGGCTGATTCCACTTTTAGGAGGCCCAAGCCCGGCCCAATTAATTCCGGGATCGGGTGGCCCGGACCGGTTCTATAACCGGGTACCGGGCCTGGCCCAAATAGTACCGGTTCCGGGCCGGGCAGCCCGACCCGAGTCTATGACTGTCCGGAGCCCTAAAGGATGGGATGTAGCAAGTATGTAATATTGGAATAGATGAACTCATGAAGTACTACTCTTGTACTCAGGGAATTATTACTTGTAGTGTTCGTGTATTTAATAAAAATCATTTTACCATTTCATATCTAAAAAAAATTATTGAATCTTCTCGATCTAGCTATGCATGAAACATTTGAATTGGAATGTGCTGATGTTGCGCTAATGAATCATTTGGTTGGATATATAAATTGGCCGAGATTATTAATTAACTATATTTTCAAAACAATTTTTATTGTTCTATGTTTCTTTTTAGTTGCCACTTGAGAAATATTGCATTATTCACATACTCTATACTCTATTTTGAGTACACTTTCTTTCTTAATGTGTGGGATTTAATTCTCTTGAAAAATATTTTTTATTGCTTCTCATTACAAATTTTTATAATCTAATTTTTATATATATTTAATAAATAGAGAATTAAATATATTAATTGTCAAAGTTGTACATTGTCAAATGTAAAAATTAGAATATTCAACTATAAAAAACTAAAAGAATATTAATTAAATTAGGGAAAAGTTATAGGGAGTATAAATAAATGTTATCTTGTTTTGTTTTCGAATAGATGTATGTAACCAAACAGGATTAAATGTCTGCCCATGCATGTAACGGGATAATGTTAGACGAATGGACATCAAGTAATGGGAAACTTTATTGAATTGTTGGCTTCAATAATTTTTGTTTGTTGATTGGTAAGTTAGGATGATAATGATTGCATCACATTAAATATTGCATTATTTGGAACAAAAATATGCACCATTATAAAATAAAAATATGTATGAAATTAAGGATGTTTTTATTTTCAGACCCAGACTAGACTAGATTAGACCAAACCAGACCAGACTAGTTCAGGTCAGATCAAACCAGACCAGGTAAGATCAAATCAGACCAGACAAACAAATTCTAGTCTAAGTAAAAACATTCTAATTTCTGATTGCATCATTCTTACTTTCAGGGTTTTTACAAGATTATTACTAAAATAAAACTTATTTGCATAAATATGACTATTCATTATTACAACCTAGTATTATGGTAAATTAAGTTCAAAACTTGAACATGAATTATTATAATTTCATTACTATTTTAATAACTAATCATATTTTTGTAAAACATTTTTATTTTGATCGTAATTATTTCTTACTTTCATCGTAAAATGAGAACTATTTCATTCAAACTTAGAAGGAAAATGGTGATATGCATTGATATAGAAAAAGAAAGATTCCTTGTGTACACGTTCTTAAACTGATATTCACTGACAAAACCCGGCTTGTTTTGTCTGTAGAATTTTCCACAGACAAAACAAGCCGGTTTTGTCTGTGAACTGACATTCACAGACAAAAAAACTTCTCACAGACACTGAGGTGTACTGGTATGTATAAGAACATGTACACCAAGAATTTCCCTTTGAAAAATACTTACATTAAGTATCAACTAGTATCAAATAGAGTACTCCCTCCGTCCCGAAATTTACTGCCGTAGTACAAATGGCACACGGATTAAGAAAATGAGAATTGTGTGGTGGAGAGTTGTGCAGAGAAAAGAAAAATGTGTAAGAATGTGTAAAAATTGCTGTGAACCACAAATTCTTTGTCAAAAAGGGAAAGTAAAGTTCTTTTTGGGACGGACGAAAATGAAAATTTGAAAGTAAATTTAGGGACGGAGGGATTAAGTATTTTCCCTTGTCGACCCACTACACATGAAACAGATGAGATAAAGTAACTATTTGGTTTGCCCCCTACACAGGTGAAATACTTACATTAGTACGGAAATAAAAAGTGCTTCTTACATATAGAGCCCGTTTGGTAGCACCAAAATCGGCTATTTTGGCTGATTCTGCTGAAATTTATGATATTCTGGCTGGAGTGGCTGTTTTGGCTGATTCTGCTGATTTAAGAAAAAAATATTTTAAAAATATATTTTATTAATAAATTAAAGAAAAAATTATATGTAAAAATAGCTAAAATGGTCCTCTACAGTAACTTCAGCCAATACAACCAGAAAAGTAACTCCAACCTTACTTTTTCGGCTTATTACACAATTCAGCGCGCGAAAGTAAAAGTTACGTGTTTGGTGAAAAAGCTGGCTGATAAGCCTGATAAGCCGAAAACAGAGTTCTCCAAACGGGCTCATAGTGAATGCCAATGGAAATAAAAAGATACTACCTCCCTCCCGCTTAAATGTTGACATGACAAAATGACAGAATTATTTAAACAATAATTAAATAAGTTTATTCGAATATATTTTGAAAAATAATTTTGATGGGTATATAATATAATGAATTATTGATAATAATTGTAATGTTATAAATGTATTATTTTTAATATTTGATGATTGTTTCATAAAATGATGTGTTATTTAAGAGTGTTAAATGTTTCATAAAATAGAAAGTGAGAACCTTTGGGTGGGACATCCAAAAAGAAAGAAAGTGTAAACCTGTAAATGGACGGAGGAAGTAATACAATTTCTAAATGAGATAGGAGTCTGTTTGGTAACACTGAAATTGGTCGAACTGGCTGATTCTGCCGAAATTTATTAAGTTCTTACTGAAGAGGCTGGTGAGTTGATTCTGCTTATTTATGAAAAAATTATATTTAAAATATTTTTTTATTAATAAACCGAAGAAACAATTATATGAAAATAGCTAAAATAATCTTCTATAGTAACTTCCTTCAGTCAATACAGTCATAAAAATAGCTCATACCTTAGTTTTTCTTATTATTATACAATTATTATAAGGGCTCTTTGAATACAATAAACAAATGAAGTAAAGTATTAAAAACGCAGCTTAGCTGCTTAAAAAACAAAAAGAAAAAAAGCGAAGCAAATACTATAAGATGGATAATAGTAAGCGAGGGAGTGTCACAAGGGTTAGGTCTCGGGTTCGAATCCCGGCAACTGCGATGAGGGGTTACTATGCTGAAAAATGCATAGGGCTCCTGCAAGTACCGGGGACAGAGCCTCACTCTCTATCTGTCAGATTGTGATTATAGTCCAATTTACATCCTCTCATCGTGCCGTCCAGTCGGTGTTGGGGGGCCCTCAAGGATGGGGTGTCATCCTTTTTTAGTAAGAGAGGAGAAAAAGTTGGAAAACTACCAGCACCACATGGCTGCGGGGCCAAGCAAAGGGAAAAAACAAAAACAAAAAAGGACAAACACGAAAAAGAGGGGAGCGGATCAATTAATAGAACGGAGTAGCAGCACGCCAGCACTGACATGCAGCAAGAAGAGAAACGAGGAGAAAGAAAACAATCAGTTCGTCAGCTATCATCTCTCAATCATAACTTGAGGTTTTGGGTTAAGTTTCTTCCTCACGTTTGAATAAGTTTTAAACTTCGTTCTTTAATTATTTATAGTTTCAGATGACTCTTAAGTTTGTTGTTGAACTATTATTATTTCGAATCACTATTTAAATTATCTCCATGTATTACTTTAAGAGTTTAGCTCCTCCCTTAGTTGTGTTAATTTATAATTATGCTAGGCTAAATTTCTAGGGGGTTTGGAGTTGGTAAAATTAAAGTTAACGATTGCTCTTTGGATATCGAATTGAACTCAATGAGTAATTTGTGAAATTGATCACTTCATCATTTTTGTTTGAGGAAGTGCTGGTTGGGAATAACAGGATCGTGCTAATATGAAAGAAAAACACTTCTATTACTTCCAAGAATAGAAAGAATAGACATACAAGCTCTAACTAAAAACTCTCAAAACAACACCTCACATATCTCTCAAGGATATTCACAACTCAAACTTGGTTGTGCTATGATGATCTAATCTAATTTACTTGATGATAGAAAAATTCTCCAAGCTCTCTATTTATAGCACCAAAACTAGGTACTAGGAAGGTGGAAGGAAGGTGTGTTGAAGCTAGGAGGAAGCTTCAATGGAGGTGTGAGGAAGGTGGTTCTTTGGTGTGAAGAAACTTCCCTTGTCATTCTTGCACATAGAGGAAGTTACATGAAAACTAGAAATTGGATTCTTCAATTGGCTTGTACTTGGATATGTCCTGGAAATTGAATTCTTCAGTGCTCCAGCTCACTCGTCGCCGATTCACACTTCCAAGGGAGGTCTTGTGTTCAAAACTCTAGCCTCCTTCGATCCTTCCGACCCCAATTTAAAAAAAGAATTGATCACTTCACTTGTTAATTTTTGAAAAGTATTATTTCTTTATTGTATTTGAGTTTGGAATTAATTTAACACACATCTTACACACTCTAAATTAAGCCTATAAATTGAACAAGTTAGGAAATTAAGATTATTTTATTGTCTGAGATTTATCATTTACTATCCTTAAATTGGCAAAAATTTCCGATATTTATTTATAATCAAAGACAGCCAAGATCCTTAATTATAATTTGCTGAAAAATTCCCATATTTATTTATAATCAAAGACACCCAAGATCCTTAATCATAAATCCGAACACTACTTTTAATTAGTTAATTTATGAGTTCTTTGGTTTGTATCAATTGACACAAGCTATAATTGTTGTGTTGTATGTAAAATATGAGTAGGACCTTTGCCTTGTACCATCAAAGTAATTACTCAGGCTCAATTCACTTCAAGAAAAAGAATTGTCGCTTCTGTTTGATTGCTTTTTTGGGGCATACCAGAAATATTTTATACGTGATGCAATGGAGGATATTGTTTTTGAAAGGTTTGTTTAAGCCTAGAATATTCTATCAAAAGAATCCCAAGATGAGATGTAAAATAGTGCACTACGAATTAGGAGAGCCGACATCAGGCCTAGCTTGAATCTTGACAACATTTCTCATAAATCTTGGGCATTCTACTGCAGACCTTTTGATGATTAGTTTTTGAGACTAAAACCATGGCTTAACTCATCTGAATCATTTGTTTATAAATGGAAAGTTTGGCTTCAAAATAGACAATTACGACCAATTTATTCTTCTAAATCTTTTACTTTGGTTGCTATTGATGTACATTGGTTATGATGCTAAAGGCAGATACTATGCTAGAAGCCTAGAAGCAATTGATATGACCTATAAGTAAACTTTTGGCATCACTTATTGAACTGCAAGTTCAAAAGGCAGAACTGTTTAATTTGCCATCACTTTTTAAAATTGCTTCTTCTTACAAGTGTATTCATGTCTAGGAGTAATGCTATTCTTCTATTAAAAAACCTTCGTTTCAAGAATACAAGTTGATATTTGTTGTTTCTAAGTTTAAAGAATACGACTAAATAGCAGATTCTAGTCTATCAAATAATATTGTGTTGGATTAATATAGGATTCAATCTCTAGGGAATAGTAGTCTAGTAGCTAATTCCCCTAATCTGAAACATGTATTTTTATATTTGGTAGAATCCTACTTTGGTGAATTGCAGACTTGCAGTTCCTAAACATAGCGGTAAAAGCTTAAACAAAGGGGTCTAAGTGGTTGACTTATACAAGGAGTTTAATTAAGTGGTCCAAATCAGATTTGTCTAAATTAGGAACAAAAGAATCAGAATATAAGGTAAGAGCTTTCTCATGTATGACAAGGTCCATTTGTGGATCCAGTGGCTAGAGGATAAAAAGTGGATGAAATGTGAATATGTGATTTTTAAAATAAATTATTTAAATAATGAAACCTGCAAGTCCTGCATAAAAATTATGGAATAAAAGTTGGGTCCCATAAAAACCTCACCATTCTTTCATCTTCCTTTTTCGACTTGTTCAATTATGAAGGGGAGGGATTAGGGATAAGAGTTGAAGATGATTGTTTGTGTGACCGGAGGTGCTGGTTACCTTGCCTCGTTTCTCATCAAGACATTGTTGGAGAGGGGCTATACAGTCCATGCAACTCTCAGGAATCTAGGTGATTTTATTTTGCAAGTGCACCTTGCCTCACCAGAAAACTCTCATTTTCTGTCTGTATTATGTATTAGGAGGACTTAGGAGTGGAACCAAATTAAAGATTTGAGTTTCTTTTGTAAGAGTAGGTGATCCAGCAAAGGTGGGACTTCTAAAGGAGCTTCCTCATGCAGAAACGAAATTGAAGTTGTTTGAGGCAGATGTATACAAACCTGATGAATTTGCTCCTGCCATTCGAGGTTGTCAAGTGGTGATCCATATGGCTACTCCTTTGCAGCACACCCAACAAAGCACTGAGGTCTTTTTATATTTACCCTTAATTTGGCTATGTGTGATTTTGTTTTATTTGGAGATACTTCAGCTTTCTTTTTTGCTGTTTATGATTTTTTAAGATCAAAAGTAATCTGACCTATGTTTTAATATTGACAAGTTAAAGTTATAATTCTAAAATGAAAAGCCTGATGCTTATTATGTTAGTTGTATCCATGAACGTTTTCACGTTAGTAGGAAGGTGGTAGATTTGGCAGGCCACTTTGAGCTAATTGACAAAAATAAAATGTTCAAACATTTCACCCCCAATAAATCTGATCTTGTCTAGTCTGGTCTGGGAAATGTATGGTCTCTATGTATTTTATAACTATTCAAGTCTGAACTGGTCTGATCTGGGATCGAAAACAATCCAAGTAAAAACATCCTTACTTTTTAGTTTTCAATTGTTGGGAACTCTACTCCTTGGGCTACCTACATTTCACCCTTATCACACCAAAACAAAATGACATAATGGATATGTTGGTTTTGTCTTGTTTGTGATAGATGCTTACAAACTCACCTGGAGCGGTGTTAAAATGTAAAGCTACATCTATCTTACAAAGAATGTGTTTGTAATACCGTTTTCAGTGTTACAATTAAGACTCTACAAAGATGGATGTAGTAATTACATAGTATGAATTATTCCGATTCCAATAATTTTTTTTAAAATCCACATAGCTACTATTGTATATGTTCAACGTGGAATTCATGGATGTCATTTTGGCATGGATGAAACTTGATCAATTTTAAGAGAAATGCTCAACATTTTGCATCAAGTTAATTAGGCTATTCATGATTTAATCGCCTATGTAGTACAAAAATATGTGGGAGGCTACTGTTGCTGGAGTTAGGAGCATTGCGGATTCGTGTATAAGATCGGGGACTGTAAAGAAACTTATTTACACAGCCACCGTGATGGCTGCATCTCCATTGAGGGACAATGCAACAGGTTTCAAGGACACCATGGACGAGACTTGTTGGACTCCTTTTGATTTCCCAACCCTTTACCATATTGATTCATTCGTGGTACGTTGTATGTATGTTCTTCTTCTCATTAATTGCCTTAATTGACGGGGTATGCCTTTCCTGTCTGTACTAGGGTGACATTCTTTAGTACGATTTGGCTCAACTCAGGTAATGACAAGGTTGAACACTTGAACCTTAATCAATCCCAAATAGCTCTCATGAAATGGGATGACCTATTTTGTGGTTCATGTGTTTTTTGTAGGGAGAGGGAACAAATCCCATGAACTATAGGATGGAACAAATATATCTATCTCATTCTTTTTGGAACAATTAAACACTAAAATTGTAAATTAGAACAAATATACCACTATGTCAGAAAATATATACCCCTTATCTATACTTCAAGGAATGAATATACCCCCTAAACTCTTTGGACAAGAAAGTGCGTTTTTGTTTTTAGGCGTACAGTTCAAGGGTATATTCGTTATTTTTTTATATTTAGCTTGTGTAAAATACCATTCAACACACTTTTATCTCGTGTTTGATTTTATGGTTTTTTCCCATTGGGTAAAACACACACAGCCCCGTGCTTATCATATTGACTGCATTTTTTCATAGGGATCCACATCCTTCACAACCATACTTATGGCTTGGGGCATACACCTCATATAATAAGGCACCCCCTTCTTTAACAAACTTGGTCTTAGACTTTCAGTTTTTTCATGCATTGTTTATAGGACTACGCGAGATCAAAGACATTAGCGGAGAAAGAAGTGTTGAGCTACAATGGGAAAGGCAACATACAAGTTGTTTCTCTTGTTACTGGCGCTGTTGGAGGCCGTGAAACGCTTCAATCATGGATGCCAGAAAGCTTGGGTTTGATGGTCTCACAAGCTACAAATGACAAAACAAGGTATGAAGTGCTGAGGTTTATAGAGGAGTTGGATGGTAAAGTTCCAATTGTACATTTGGAAGATGTAACTGCAGCCCACATTTTCTGCATGGAAAATCCAGAAATTAATGGCAGGTTTCTTTGTGCAAATTCCTATCTAAAGTCCGCCGAGATTGCGTCTTTCTATCAGCACCACTTCCCTGCCATCACAATCCCTCAAGAGTGAGTGCAACTGCTTTGCAGTAAAAGTTTCCTTTATTTTATTAGATGTTTGAATGAGTGTTATTGTTTCAGGTTCATTGAGGATACAAGGAGGGATATAAAGTGGAATTCAAGCAAACTGGAAGATGCAGGTTTTGAGTACAAATATGACTATAAGACGATACTTTTGGATAGTCTGGAATGTGCCAAGAGATTCAGCAACCATTTTACTGAAGTATAGTGGGCTAAACTAGTTGTTTGGCCCAAGTGCCTCGGGGGTTTTTGACAGACCCTGACTGAATCCTGAATGGGTAATTCTATATACAGCCCATAAATTACTAATCGCAGCCACCAATTTAAATATTAATAAATAAACTAATTCAATGTCTAAATTGCCCTTGTAACGGCATAACCATCGTCGCTTTAATATCATTGTGGCAAACTATCTTTCACCACACTCCACGAGTGACAGATGAAGGAAGACGAAGACTCCGGAATGCCTAAAGCTGCCAAAATGATTACCCTAGCTGATATCTTGTAGAATTTTGCATCTTCTATGGAGTTCATCAAACCTGCTATCATTACCGATTACAATAATTTGAAAGTTCTTCTCAACTTTTCATTGTTTTTTATAATCCGCCGGATAAATGAAAATAATCAAATTGAACAGGAATCACTAATTCTCTACTCCACATTATCTTAAACATCAACAAGAAGTCCTCTGAAGAATATAAGAATTGAATTTTAAAATTTGCTCATCACAATATCATAAAATAAAATTCTGATGAAAGAAACCAATAAGTGAAAAAATAGTAGAAACTTTCAACTTAAGAACTACAGAGTATATATCTACCGTTTACATCTAAAGCAAGGATTCCAGACGTTTGCCTTTGTAAGTCTTGTTCGGAAAAGTCAAAAAAAAAAAAAGCAAAGCAACAAAAGCTGCTGAAATTTGAGGAGAAAATGGAAGCTTCATCCTCCGACTACTTTTCGGGAAACACCGGTCACTTCCTCTTTCAACCCGATTCATCGGCTTCGTTCCCCTCTTAGTCTATTTGCCTAATCAATCTTGTACAACAGGAAGCTATTGCGGATCGATCTCGAATGAATTTCGATGCCATTGTGTGAAGCAGAACATATGGTTCTGGTTCTGTAGCCTGTACGATATGGTTCAGATCTCGGCATGCTTAAGCCGGCCAGGGTAGTTTCAATAATAAGGGTATAATAGGAATTAAATAATAATTTAGTTTATTACGCAGAACATATGGCTGTGCATAGTAAAAAAGAGGCTGCCGATAGAATCCCCCATCCTGAATTCTTAAAACATGTACTTTACTTACTTAGCTCAATCCATTACTCTCCTTTTTTGAACATCATGTCTAAGCCTCTCATTTAATTTCTATTTTATGAAATAATTAGCACTCTTATATGTTAGATTAATCATTGAATATTATAAAAATAATTCACCTATAATATCACAGTGTTATCATCAATGACCTCATAATGTTATATACTCATCAAAACTATTTCTAAATAAAAAAGATATACTCAAATTATCTTATTTAATTAGGGAAAGTTTCCGAAATAGGACTAAAACAGTTTGAAAATTCCAAAAATAGGACTGTCATGTTTTTTATTCCCAAAATAGGAGTAATTACTGTCAAGTTTGGAAAATATTGCCATGTTTGAAGTCTGGTACTGCCAAAACATGACAGTAATTAGTCCTATTTTGAGAATAAAAAACATGGCAGTCCTATTTTGGAATTTTCAGACCTTTTTAGTCGTATTTCGGGTAATATTCTCATTTAATTAATTTCTAAATAATCGTATCATTTTTTATCAGGAAGCTTAAACCGGGACGGTAGTAGTACTTATATACTTCACGTTTTCTAATATAATAGAATAAATTCCACTTTTGGTCTCACGAGTTTTAGGTCAATTCCACATTTAGTCCACATCTTTCACTTTGTCCACTTTTGATACATGATTATTGTGTTTTCGCCCATATATGGTCCTTCCGACATTGTTTCTGATGGTTAAAATCGCCGGAAAAGGATCACAAACGGTTAAAAAAAATTAGTCAAGTACCAATGATGAACAAAGTGAAAGACATGGATTAAAGGTGGAATTGACACAAAACTCGTAGGACCAAAAGTGGAATTAATTTAATATAATATTACTGTTAGCATATTATTTACGTACGCGTGACCGTGCATGCGGACGTATCTGGGCTGGCTATTGTTTTATCTATTAGTTAGTATTTCCATTATTTATTAATTCTAGTAATTATCTCTTAGGCATCAATGATTACATTCTTATCTACATAGTTGTCCACATTCGGTGTACCATAGTTTACGGAAGCCATACGATGCATTTGTTATTCTGTTGAGCTATGTAAGGCTTTGTACTTGTACAGACTTCACCCTATTTAAAGGGTTTGATTAAACATGAATACATACGGGGAATTCATCCTTCTTCTAACTTGGTATCAGAGCCCAGATTTCTTTTCTTCCATGGCTTCTCTCGCCCCCAAACAATCTCCCTTTCATCCCGCTCTTGCGGTCTCCAATATTAAAAACTTTATACCCATCACTCTCGATCTCGAGACAGTTGAGTATACCTCTTGGGCTGAGCTTTTTAAAATTACCGCTAGAGCTTATCAAGTCCTCGATCACATTATCCCATCACCACATGATGAGGCATCATCTTCCGCTACCCCCCCGGCTCTTACCATCACGGAGCGTCTTGAACAAGAAGCAGCTCGGGCCGAAGCTTTGGCACTATGGAATCGTCTGGATGCCATTGTTCTTCAGTGGATATATGGCACTATATCCACCGATTTGCTCCATACCATCATTGAGCCGGATTCCACCGCCCGCCAAGCTTGGGACCGCTTATCCGACATTTTTCAAGATAACAAACAAACCCGGGCTGTCCATCTTGAAAATCAGTTCTCAAACACCCGGATGGATCAATTTCCTAAGTGACGTCCTACTGCCGCGCCCTCAAGACCATTGCTGATCAACTGGCCAACGTCAACTCTCCGGTGGATGACCGCCGCTTGGTCCTTCGCTTTGTCGCTGGACTCACCGAAGAGTATGCTACGGTTGCCACCATTATTCAGCAATCAAACCCTCTTCCAACGTTTGCTACTGCCCGTTCTATGGTACGGCTGGAAGAGACCCGCAAGGCGCAACAAACATCTTCTGCGGCTGCACTTGTCCACACCGGCGGTCCATCTCCTCCGAGGGACCCCCCTCCCCCTCCACGTCCTGCTCCTCGCGGCGGCCGTGGTGGCCGTGGCCGCTCATCTTCTCGTGGTGGCCGGGGACGGGGGCGGTCTGACTCTTTGCCTAGTTCTGGACAGTGGCCATCCATTCCTCCATGGGCCTACTGGTTGCAACATCCAGCATGGAATATTCCTCCATGCCCCTATCCTACATCTGCATGGCCGGGGCTGTCTACACCACGCCCCAATTCTGGTGCCGGCATATTGGGTTCTCGACCTCAACAAGCACACTACGCTGCACCAACCACATCGGGCCCAACTCCTACCGACATGCACGCTGCCATGCAGACCATGACATTAAATCCGCCGGATGATCAGTGGTATATAGATACAGGAGCAACTTCTCACATGACGGCAAACACAGGTTCTTTCACGTCCTTTTCTAAATTAAATACTAAATCCAAAATCCTAGTTGGAAATGGCTCTACTATTCCTATTACGGGCCTTGGTACTACCACACTGCCACCTCCAAATCCTCCTCTTAAACTACGTAATATTTTGCATGCTCCTTCACTAATTAAAAATTTAATTTCTGTGCGTCAATTCACTACTGACAATCATGTCTCTGTTGAATTTGACTCTTGTGGTTTTTCTGTGAAGGACCTTCGTACGGGCACCAAACTTCTGAGGTGTAATAGCTCCGGCGATTTATACCCTCTTCACTCCGGTTTTTCTTCTCGGCCGCCTACTGCACTCCTTTCCGCCGCTGTTTGGCACAACCGTTTGGGACATCCGGGGGCACCAGTTTTTCGTTCTCTTAGTCAAAATAAAGTCATTAATTGTAGTCACTTAAATAATGTAGTTTGTCATTCTTGCGAATTGGGGAAGCATACTAAAGTCCCTTTTTCACATTCTGTTTCTTTCACAAAGAATCCATTTGATATTATTCATTGTGATTTATGGACCTCTCCGGTTACTAGTTCTTTTGGCCATAAATATTATCTTATTTGTGTAGATGATTTTACCAAATTTATTTGGGTATTTCCATTGCATTATAAATCTCAAACATTCTCCGTTTTCACAAAATTTTATACTTATATTTGCACTCAATTTGAGTGCCGTATAAAAATATTACAATGTGATAACGGAAAAGAATTTAACAATTCACAATTTCGAGACTTTGGTAATGCTAATGGTCTTCAATTCCGGTTTTCATGCCCATACACCTCTCCCCAAAATGGTAAAGCCGAAAGATCTATCCGCACTATTAATAACATTTCTCGCACCCTTCTTCTTCATGCGTCTGTTCCCCCGCAATTCTGGCCTCACGCCGTCAAACTGGCCGCTTATTTATATAACATCCTGCCCAGTCAATCCTTATTTTTCTTAACCCCCACTCACAAACTATATCACCTACAACCCACTTACTCACATATACGTACCTTCGGTTGTCTCTGTTTTCCACATAATTCCTCTCCCACTGCCCATAAACTTGACCCACGATCCATACCGTGTGTCTTCCTTGGGTTTCCAGATAATCATAAAGGTTACATATGTCTCACTCTATCCACCCACAAAATCATCATTTCCCGGCATGTGACCTTTGATGAGTCCCAATATCCATTTCGCACACATTCTACCACCTCCCCGCCATCATATAATTTTTTGGATGACACACACATCCTATTCCGATACCCACATATTGCCAACCATACCACATCTGCGCCCAATACTAATACCCCTCCTCCCCATACGAACACCTCCAACATTAATACTCCCATGACCCCACAATCACCTTTATTCCCACCTCCCATAATACCAACCAGTCGATACTTCCCTCCCTCCAGCTCACCTGACACATCCCAGACCTCTCCACATACATCTCCTACTCCTCCCCTACAATCTAACGGCCATAATGCCCCACCCAGTCAACCTATATTGCCAACCCATCCCATGGTTACCCGCAGTCGGGCTGGAGTTTTTAAACCAAAGCATCATTATAATTTATCTCACTCTGTCACCCCGTCACCCCTACCCCGGTCCCCAATTCAAGCCCTCCAAGACCCTAACTGGAAAGCCGCTATGGATGATGAATTTAGTGCTTTAATTAAGAATCAGACGTGGGAGTTAGTTCCCCGTCCAGCCAATACTAATATTATTCGCTGCATGTGGTTATTTAAGCACAAATACAGGTCTGACGGTTCTTTAGAACGACACAAAGCTCGGCTTGTTGTCAATGGAAATTCTCAACAAATCGGGGTTGACTGCGATGAGACCTTCAGCCCGGTGGTCAAACCCGCAACCATTCGCACCGTCCTTAGCCTTGCTCTGTCTCATTCTTGGCCACTACACCAACTTGACGTCAAGAATGCATTTTTGCATGGCCATTTAGAAGAAACCATGTTCATGTACCAACCCCCCGGCTACCGTGACCCGCATCACCCCTCTCATGTGTGCCGATTACTCAAATCACTCTATGGCCTCAAACAGGCCCCACGGGCGTGGTATCACCGTTTTGCATCATATATTGCTACCATTGGTTTCTCCCATAGCACTTGTGATCACTCTCTTTTTATTTACAAAAATGGCTCTGACACGGCGTATCTTCTCTTATATGTTGACGATATTATTTTGACAGCTTCTTCTGATAATTTCCGCCAGCATATCATTAGCCGCCTCGCCGCCGAATTTGCTATGACTGATCTTGGGCCACTCACGTATTTCTTGGGAATTTCGGTTACCCGCCACACTCACGGATTGTTTTTATCTCAATCCAAATATGCCACTCAAATCCTCCAGCGAGCTGGCATGCATTCATGTAACTCCGTTGCTACTCCAGTCGACACTCATTCTAAATTAAGTGCCTCGGCTGGGCCAGTGGTGGATGATCCAACTTTATACCGTAGTCTAGCTGGAGCTTTACAGTATCTCACCTTTACCCGTCCGGATATTTCTTATGCCGTACAACAACTATGTCTATTTATGCATGATCCACGGGCATCACATTTCCATGCTCTCAAGCGGGTTTTACGCTATATTCAGGGTACCGCCCACCTCGGACTTCACCTCACTTCTTCCCCAGGTTCAGACCTCATTGCATATTCCGATGCTGACTGGGGCGGGTGCCCCGATACTCGGCGCTCTACATCTGGCTATTGTGTTTTTTTGGGGGATAACTTATTGTCTTGGTCATCTAAGCGACAACCTACTCTGTCCCGCTCTAGTGCCGAAGCTGAATACCGTGGCGTAGCTAATGCTGTGGCTGAATTATGTTGGTTACGGAACCTGTTACTTGAACTTCACCACCCCCCGGTTAAGGCATCCATTGTTTATTGTGACAATATCAGTTCCGTTTATCTCTCAACCAACCCGGTTCAACACCAACGCACTAAACACATAGAAATGGATATTCATTTTGTTCGTGAAAAGGTGGCCCGCGGTCAAATCCGAGTTCTCCATGTACCATCTCGCCATCAATATGCTGACATTTTTACCAAGGGTTTGCCTAGAGTTCTATTCGAAGATTTCCGGTCCAGTCTCAGTATCCGTGGTCCTCCAGCTTCAAATGCGGGGGCGTGTTAGCATATTATTTACGTACGCGTGACCGTGCATGCGGACGTATCTGGGCTGGCTATTGTTTTATCTATTAGTTAGTATTTCCATTATTTATTAATTCTAGTAATTATCTCTTAGGCATCAATGATTACATTCTTATCTACATAGTTGTCCACATTCGGTGTACCATAGTTTACGGAAGCCATACGATGCATTTGTTATTCTGTTGAGCTACGTATGGCTTTGTACTTGTACAGACTTCACCCTATTTAAAGGGTTTGATTAAACATGAATACATACGGGGAATTCATCCTTCTTCTAACTATTACTAAGTGCAGGTTTGGCACAATTAGCTGCTTTTTACCTTTATAAAAGTTCCTAACTTTAACGAGTAGTAAGTAATACTTTTGGAAAAGTACTACTAGTAACTAAAAAGTTCTTAAATGGAAAAGATTGTAATTGTTTAATAAAATTTGACTTTTGATGTAGCCATGTTTCGTATAAAAAGTTGTGGCTATTTGAAATTGTATTGAATACATAATGCAACATATATACGGAGTAATTCATAGTGCCTAGAAAAGATCTTAATTTTTAAAACAGCTCCCAAAGGGTGTTGTACCAAGCATCATTTAAGAACTTTTTGAGACTTTAAATAGTCAAAAAGCTTAAATGTATTGACTTGTGTCTATGAACATGACTATATTTATTGATTCTTTTTAATATATTGCAAAACCAAAACTACAACGAATTATACATTTGAAAGAAAAATAGATGGTTCCCTTGTTGTGGACAACAATCTGCCCACTTATTTGATCCCGTCAAACATATTGAATTTTATAGACAGCCTATTCAGAACATTAAAAAAATCACGAGAAGTTCTCCAAGAACTCAATTGCATCAAATGTATCCCCATCAAAGAATGGCGAGTTCGTAACAGAAGATGGAGTTGGGATCATAAGATTATCTGATTCTGACTCGTCCATAATTTGTCCAAGCCCAAAGTCATCCTTATGTTGATCAAGTAAAAATGACAAGTCCATCAACTCCTCCGAGAATGTCGGAGAGGCGAAAGGTGGCGGGTAACACGGCCCAACGAGTCTGTTTTCTTTCTCCGTGATCTCGTCGTGTTCGTTCAGAAACGGAGGGAAAGAGAAATGAGGAAATATGTCACTTGCAATGTCAAGTGTTTGGTCTAGTCCAGAGTTGAGAATCAAGTCATGGTTTTCCTCTGATTCTTGGAGCTTGAACTGAGGGTTTTGTATCAATGACGGATAAGAGTCAATACAAGTGTGCATTCCTTTGTATGTGACCTCAAAAACAGAAGGGTCTTCATCAGACCTTTGAACATGCTTTGTAGCCAAACAACCTTTTGTGAAGCGATGAGTGCACCTGTAGTATGCCCTGCAAAAATAAGCCCGAAATATTTTAAGTAGATGTTGAAGAGAGCTTATGAAAATGAAAATAGTGGAGACAAAACTCAAGTTGGAGTAAAATATAGCCCACCAGAGGATGCCATTCAATGAGACGAGGGGAGGAATAAGAACAAATCTGACGGTTAATTGAGCAACTTGTGCAATTTTTAGCACAAATTCATTGAATTTTTAGCAAATTCAGACGATCAACCAATTTCATTCAATATAAACGGTTAATTCAGAAATGGGCTCTATATGTACAACATCCATTGAATATAAGTATAACAAGTTAATAAGTATATTGCATTTCTCTAATAAAAAGTCTAAATGCATGATAATGAAAACTACAAATTAATCACTTTAATGATATGATGATAAAGTTTTTGGGATAACTTAGAAAAGTCAACAGAGTCTTGTCCAATGTAGAGGGAGTAATTAATACCGTAGTAAGAAAAGAAAATGATTGATTAATGAAGTGCTAGAAAGTAGAAACCGATGGTGGGAAATTGATGATGGAAAGATTAATAATAACCTCAGTGTGGAAAGGAAATACACAAAAGGAAACAAAAGAAATGAAACATGTGGGACAAACACTACCAATCCTAAGGAACAAGAAAAGTATACACTCATTAATGAACTCTGAACCTTCTTCACTCCTACTCGGACAATATGAATCCTACTGAATTCATGGAAAAGTCAACCATGTAAAAATAAAGTTAAAACCAATCATATAGATCCGCACTAAAAATCCTTAAGGCCTTGAGAATAGAGGACGTGTCCTCTACGACATAGGAGAGGGATCTCACCTAGGGTGGGTTGCCCCCAAAATATCTTTCTGGCCGTATTTTCTCCAGCTATGACCATCATCAAGGGCGCCTCCTAAACCAGTGGCGTCTGAGCAAACACGGACACTTTCTGTAGCCTGTGGAGAAGTTTTCCTGCAATTCCATATGATAAATGTGAAGATTGAGTTGGGAAAATGGCTGTTTGATCCTTTTTAATGTTTTTAACAACTAAAAAGGTTGTTTGGTAAAATAGTTGTTCGCCCTTGTGTTTTTGAATGAAATCGCTGAAATGGAAACACTACAAATAGGAAATTTCGAGTTAGTGTGTTGAAATAGGTCATTTCCTAGTAATTGTTATAGTCAAACGGCTAAATTATCTAACGTTTTTATGATTGAATATGTTATTAACAACCTTTTAACATAATATTTTAACCGTTAGACGCTATTAACAACCCGCTAACATAATCCGTTAACCGTTAAATGTCAAACACGCCGATTGAAGAGCAACAAAGATTGATGCTTTTTAAGAACAGAATTCAGATCTCAAGTTTTTTAAAAATGATTTGAGTTATAATTGAGCTAACAAGTGATATTGGATGAAGTCATGAATACCTTTTCTTGGAAAAGCCCAGTCTGCAATTCTGTTTTAAAGAATCTGCATCAGAGAGTTCACTAACAGGGGAGTTGTTACCCAGAAGAGGAGGAGAGGAAGTATCCATGGAATCAGGCAGTCCAAAGAAAAGGTTGAAACTGAGAAGTCTTATAATTGCCTTATCACAAGAAGAGATGATCTTCTTGAGCAGTAGCAGCTCACAGGTATCTGGTGATGATGATTCTTCAATCAAGCCTTGCAGCTGGACTGCACAATCTCTGCCCCGTGTTAGCTCATTGATGATCTCCTTGTTTCTCTCCAAATTCATTCCAATGGTATTTTCCATGTTGTATTTGGAAACGAAAAGAAGAAGTGCAGAAGAAAAAACAGAGGATTTTTTTATATCAACTAGCTAGTTAATCTCATATAAAATCTTATCATGAAGACAAGAAATTGAGCAGGCACTTCACACTGCACTTCCCAGAGACCAAGGAGAACACAGAAATAGGCAGTAAAGTTCAGAAGATATATGGGGGACGGAGTCTAAACTATGGTATATATAGGGTAGGTTCCACCGAAAACCTCTCCTAAAATAAGACATTTTTATAGTGAAAATTTTTAATAGTTACTCCCTTTGTCCCAATTTTATAAGATATCCTTACTATTCATTTAGTCAACATAAATCACTCTTAATCTCCTACTTTATACATCAATTTTTTTATGAAATTTGAATTATTTTTTGCAGATTTTGTAGCGGGTTTAATGTAGTTTCTAAATATGTACGATAGTATTTTTTTTGTAAAAGTAATTTGAGTGCAGACATGGATCCATTTACTTTATCGTCGCTCAAACATCGTAAACCGAACAATATCTTATAATTTGGGACGGAGGGAGTATTACTTTAAATAGAGCTAAATGGAAATGGGGGGCGGAGTCTAAACTATGACATATATACTGAGGAGGGTTCCACCTAGAACCCCTATGAAAATGAGATGTCTTGAGAACCCCTCCAAAATGAGATTCTTCTAATGAGAATTTTTAATCGCAATCTCTTATGTATCATAATTAATGCTTAGTATTCACATGAAGCCATATTCATAATTATCATAAATTCAAATGGGGTATTTTGGAATTAATCTTAAGTAATTACTCTATAAAAATGTGACTTGTTCATATTAGTCGTGGATTGCAAAAATGAATAATAAAGATTAGAAGTTCTCATTTTAGATACACTTTCATTCTAAGAGAGTTCTCGAGAACCCTCCCACATGTGTGTGGGGGTTTTAGTACACATAATAAGTTATTATCTCGTACAAAATGAAAACAAATTCGGAGTATCGATTTGAAATCTAAAAGCTAAAAAATGAGGTGACATTTTGTTAGATATATAAATCAAAATTTCTCTATCACAACATAATATGAATTACTTTGAACTAAAGATCTGTTACAAATGTTGGGTTTCCTTCTTAATTGAGATATTAATGAGAACTCTAGAATATCGCAGAGATGTCTAGAATTCTCTAGATGTGTGTATAGAAGTATTGAATGTTCTAGAATATTCTAGAGCTTTCTAGAAAGGCGTGGAATTATCTATAAGTGTGTGAAAGAATGTAGAATGTTTTAGAACATTGTATGATTTTCTAGAGAAGTGTGGAGTTCTCTAGAATCGTATTGAAGTGTGTGGAAGCCTCTAGAACATTCTGAAAAGATGTGGCGCTCTGTAGATTCTTCTAGAAGATTAGAGAAGATGGTGGATACTTTTAAAAGACTCTAGAAATATGGTGGTGCATAGAAAGTTCTAGAGAAGTTTTGAGGAGATTAGTATAAATTAGAGTTAGAGCCATGAGAGAGTCTTGGGGAGAGCCTTGAGTGAGAGCCTTGTGAGAGCAAGTGATGAAAGAGAAGAGTCTGAAGGAGAGCTCTTGAGTGAATGAGAGCCTCCTTGAGAGAGGAGAGTGAGAGTGAAGTAGTCTAATATACAAAGAGTGAAGTGAGATACCTGTTTACTTGTAAAACATATCTAGTACATTTAAATTGTATAATAAAAAAATATTATTTTCATATGAAGCCTTTCTATTACGAGTGAGCGAGTGACTATACAAGAGTTCCTTGAATTCGTGATCCTAAAAGAGGTTGGGCCTCAGGGTCATGTTTTCCCAACAACAAACAACTAAAGTGCACTGCTAGTATACCTTCGTCACGGAATAATATGTACTCCCTCCGTCCCTAAATGTTGTTCCAATTGCGGATTACGAAAGTTGACCGACGATAAAGTTAAATGATCCCTGTGAAAACTCGGATTATTTTTAGTAAATAAAATTTACATATTCATAAACTACATTAAACCCGCTACAAAGCCTGTAAAAAATAATTCAACTTTTATAAAATTTTGATATAAAAAGTAAGAGTTTAAGAGTGATTTAAGTTGACCTCGATAAGCGAAATTTAATGTAGAGATGCATTACGAACCTGCATGCCAAAGGAAAATCAACACGCCCTTTTCCATGGCCTGTCCTAGGCATGGGTAAAGAGGCTTTTACCTAGTGTCCATGTTTCTACTACGAGGGCCTATAAATTTTTGATATGTATAAACTAACATATATACATATGTGTATTATGCATGATAGATTTATATTTGAATTACTCTCCCTATACCATTGTCAACCCGCTTTTTATTGTCAGGAGTTAAGTGCCAATATTTTATTACATTCAGATTTAATCTTTTCTTTTCTAAAAAAAGATTAGTTTACATTTTATGTTGTTTAACAACATAAGTCAAAATTCAATTTGAAAAAAAAAAAATCAGAATTCAATTTAGAACACACAAAGAAAATTTAGGACATGCAATAATCAAAACAATGTTGCACTTTTAATTGTTTACACTCTTCAAGTCTTTGTCTTCTACAATTTTGTATCCTAAAAGTTTGCAATCAAAATGTCGCCTTTCTCAGGAGCAAAACGATGTTTTGAAGGAGAATTAAAGAACGTTTTGAAAACATCGTTATTTTCCACAATGTCTTGATAATAAGAATGGTTAAGAATATCAATATTATCTGCAATACTTAACTCTACTTTGGATATGAGGTATCAAGAGAGAATAAGTGTAATTATACTATTTGCTAATTTGTTACTCCGTATTATAAAATAAAAGAGTACTTTTTGAACTCTTATTATACATGTTGAATCTAGATATATTTAAATTGTAATATAGGGGCAAACAAATTTACATTATCTCTGGTCTATAAAATATCAAGACCAGACCTGCCCTTTTCTTGTGAAACATTATGTTTATTTGATGGGAAAATTGCCCTAAATAGCAATAAAAAACGTTGAAAATTCAAAATAAAACCATCATATTTTTATTCTCAAAATATGAGTAATTACTGTTTTTTTACAATACCAAACTAAATACATGACAGTATTTTTTAAACTTGGCAGTAATTAGTACTCCGCATTATTTAGGAAATAAAAACATAGCAATCCTAGAATTCCAAAATGTTTTACTCTTATTTCGGAAATTTTGGCTTCTTTGATAATCTATATAGATGAGTTTACGTGTACAGAAATTTTGGCCAAAATTGACTTTCATGTGGATTAATAAAGTAAAAATTTGGGATTGAACTTTGTGCAGAAGAGAGAAAATTAACTTTAACCACATATTTCTTACTTTAAATGGAAATGGCGAATCTTTTTGGGCCACCGAAAAAAGGAAATTTGGCCAATCTTTTCAAGGAGTATATATATTCCCTCCGTCCCCTTTTAAATGTCCTGTTTTACTATATTGACATGTCTCTATTTAAATGTCGCATACCTTATTTGGTAAAATTTGTGTGACCCAAAATCATTCTTACTTTATTCTTACTTTATCAATTAATATCAACCACACAGACTCACTTTTCTTAAAACCTGTGTCACCCTTTAAAAGGGGACGTAGGGAGTATAAGTATTCGGCACGTTTTCATTTAAATTAATTCGAATTTATTGGTAGATTTGTGTGTGTCGTTATGACGGAAGCGGGAGAGAAAGTACGAGGAAAGGGAGATGGGAAACGGTGAAGTACTGAAGTGTGCGTGTGGAAATATAACGGATTAGTAGAACTACGCTGATAAGAATGGTCGGTGTGACGTAGGATGCATCTAACTTTCTTTCTCTCCCTTGTACGATTGTACCCCATATATGTACAATTTTTTTTATACACGCCTTATATGTACAAATACTAGTATTTGTACCCGTGCCGTGCACGAGATAAAATCAGTTTGCTTTTCAGTGGATATATTATACTGAAGGTATAGATTTTCTATGCCAATGGTAATTGATTGTTGGTATAAAATACCGTTAAGTGACAATTTGTCTGTGTGCCCTATTTTTTTTACCAATTATCTTAACATGCTTCCAGTCTATATTCTCTAATGAAAAGATCCATTTATTTGTAACTCTCGGTTGCATCCAAATGGAAATTAATCTTTTCAATTATTTGTACCTGAACAAAAAAATGCTCAATGTCTATTTTTATCTATCGAATTTCATCCCTGACTTGGTGTTTTTTCCAAAACTAATAACACATTTTTGTAATATATTGATCCTTAAATGGACGTAGTCAATTTTTTAAAAAAATATTAGCCCTTCTAGACTTTAGAATTTTGCTAATTGGTACTTCGATCTCTTTCTTCAAGAAAAGAGTTTAGAATGTATAGTTTTAATACATTCTGATTATAATGAAGATGATGGCGGCGACAATAGGCTGCCTATTGTGATTGGTAGCAATCAATTTATTTTTCATTGGGTTGAGTTATTGAGGGTAATATGATCTTATTAAGTAAAATAAGTGTTATTGTACAAACAACAGTTGCATGTTTTAGATTTTCAATAGACAATTTTACCTAGAAGGTCACATGAATAAAACTTATAAAAAGATTCTCATCATATCAAGAGGTAGCTATCATAGAAATATAAACATGTCAAGCTATGCAATGAAAAATAAAACAGATGTCCCATATTTATAAATGAAAAATGATCTCAATCTTCATGACCAAATATAACTACATTAAGATTACACTCATGCCTAAAAGAATTACTACGTACCTTTTATACTCAGTCTAGATGTCTAGGACATAACTGTTATAACTTACTGAGTATTTTAATTACAACACGTATTTTTCATAAATTATTATTATATTTTGTACGACACCGATCTTGCATATAAAAAAAAATCTAATTATGCTAGCTCTACTTTCTCCTAGCTTGCTAGTGTCCTTTATGTTTTCCGATTTTTCAAAACTTGGATATATTTTTTGTCTTAATTTAAAATTGGATTTATCTAAAAAAAAGTCTAAAAACATCCATCCATCATATATTCAAAATTCATTTTATTTTTACATATGCAATATTGATATCATATGAAAGATAATAAAAAATCTTGAATTTGTATATGTATTTTATAAAAATTTAAATATAAATAAAAAAGTTATATCAATTCAAAAAACAGAGAGATTGTTCTTTGTTGGGCGAGCCATGAAGTGAC